ATCAAGTGTTAAAAACAATACAGCATTAAATATTAAAAACTTCCCTAAACGGGGCTGCCTTCAGATGTCTTTTAAAAATAAGATAGCTGCTTATTTCCTTGACATCTGATGGGAGGGCGTTCCACAAGGCAGGCACCACTACCGAGAAGGCCCTCTGTCTGGTTCTCTGTAACCTCAGCTTCTCGCAATGAGGGAACCACCAGAAGGCCCTTGGCCCTGGACCTCAGTGTCTGGGCTGAATGATGGGGGTGGAGACGCTCCTTCAGGTATACAGGACCGAGGCCATTTAGGGCTTTAATGTCAGCACCAACACTTTGAATTGTGCTCGGAAACATACTGGGAGCCAATGCAGATCTCTCAGGACCGGTGTTATGTGGTCCCGGGGGCCACTCCCAGTCACCAGTCTAGCTGCTGCATTCTGGATTAACTGCAGTTTCCGGGTCACCTTTAAAGGTAGCCCCACATAGAGCGCTTTGCAGTAGTCCAAGCGGGAGATAACTAGAGCATGCACCACTCTGGCAAGTGGGACCGCAGGCAGGTAGGGTCTCAGCCTGCGTACCAGATGGAGCTGGTAGACGGCCGCCCTGGGCACAGAATTGACCTGCGCCTCCATGGACAGCTGTGAGTCCAAAATGACTCCCAGGATGCACACCTGGTCCTTCAGGGGCACAGTTACCCCATTCAGGACCAGGGAGTCCTCCACACCTGCCCGCCCCCTGTCCCCCAAAAACAATACTTCTGTCTTGTCAGGATTCAACCTCAATCTGCTAACTGCCATCCATCCTCCAACCGCCTCCAGGCACTCACACAGGACCTTCACCGCCTTCACTGGTTTAATTGTGCAGATGGCATCACGGGCCAATTCAGGGGGAGGATGGAAACACCTTTGCCAAGGCATTCCAACGCCGGCGACTGGCATAGCCTGCACAAATGGAATGGAGAACAGCGCCAGAGGCTGCCTCCCCATCGCTCAGGGCCCGTGGTGTGTGCCTTGCTGCAGAGAACCACCTCAGCAGCAAACGCATTTGAACAAGCCCCTCGCAGGAGGGAAACAAACAGCACCGCTGCCGAGTCAAGCAACTAACAAGGTGCCCAGGGCCGCTGACCCATTTAGCTGAGCTGCCGAGCTGCCGGGGCTCCAACAGCCCAGCAGGCTCCTCGAAAAAGGCCGGCAGCATCAGCAAAGAACAGCTTGAGAGCTGCCCAAAATAGCAGGCATATCGCTGCAACGACGGCCGACAGCTCTTTCAGCAGCACCTGTGTCGTTCTCATTGCTATCTAGGAAGAATGCATCCTTCTAGAGAGTCTAGGGATATTTGCAGGGTTAGAAACTCAGGTGTAGAAGTTAGATGCCAAACGGCATCATAAACCAAGGTTGCAGTTGCCACAACCAGTGTTAGAAACTCAGATTTATGAGCTAGGCTCCAAATGGCTCCTTAAAACAAGGTTGCAGTTGCCAAAACAGAATACAGTGGTACCTCTGAATGTGAACGGGATCCGTTCCGGAGCCCCGTTCGCATCCTGAAGCGAACGCAACCCGTGTCTGCGCATGCGCGGTCGCGATTCGCCGCATCTGCGTGTGCGCGTGACATCATTTTGAGTGTCTGTGCATGCGCGAATGGCGAAACCTGGAAGTAATGTGTTCCGTTACTTCCGGGTCGCCACAGAGCGCAACTCGAAAACGCTTAACCCGAAGCTACTTTAACCCGAGGTATGACTGTACAGTGTAACCTCGGTTCTCGAACGGCTCCATTCCCGAATGTTTCAGCTCCCGAACATCGAAGACCCGGAAGTAAGTGTTCCAGTTTTCGAACAGTCCTTGGAACCCGAACGTCCGACGCGACTTCCGATCTGCAAAAGGCCTAGCTGCCAGCCAATCGGAAGCCACACCTCGGAATTCGAACATTTTGCAAGTCGAACGTTCTTCCAGAACTGATTATGTTCGACTTCCGAGGTTCCACTGTATCTAGTTGGCAAGATGACGCTAGTGTCATTAATAATAATAATAATAATAATAATTTATTTATATCCCTCCCTCCCCAGCCAAAGCCGGGCTCAGAGCAGCTAACAACAATAAAAGTAACACAGCATTCTAAAATCAATTCATTCCAAAATCAATTCAAAATCAAATTAATGGCAACCATTGGGCTAGAGTTCTGTGAGGATTCCCAAAGAGGGGGTCAGACTGTGCCTTGGTCAAAGGCCTGGTGGAACAGCTCTGTCTTGCAGGCCCTGCGGAAAGATGTCAAGTCCCACAGGACCCTAGTCTCTTGTGACAGAGCGTTCCACCAGATCGGGGCCACAGCCGAAAAAGCCCTGGCCCTTTTCAAATGGTGGACTGACTGTGACTGATTCTCAGTTAACATCTGGCTAGTTCAGATGACAACCCGGAGCTAGGTTAAGAACTTTGAGAACTTAAAAGAAGAAAAATCACTTTATCCAGAGAAAGTCTGCATATATATTGGCATATATAAGATGCGTTGTTAGTGTGTGAAAACATTTGAGATCCAAGGATCTCCAGGCATGCATCTCCAGATGGTAGAGATGTTAGGGTCCATCCTGATGCCTAGGCCTCCTCATCTTGGTCGCAAATAGCTGAGAGCCAGGTGCAAAATGCCCCTAGCCACTGGCTAATTTCGAACGGTGGTTGCAAAGGGCCGATAGCAGGCTGAACAATGGGCCTGGCGAATTTTCAAATGCTGACCACGACTCCCATAATCCCCAGCCAAATCAGTCAATCATCAGGGTTGATGGGAGTTGTAGTCCAAGTACATCTGGGAACCCCAGATGGAAGGCTCAAGGCTGACTTTGGGGGTCCAAAGAATCCACCCCATCCCTGCCACAAGAAACACCCCATTTGGGGGCTTGGAGGTCAGGCAGAGGACCAGCCCATCAGCGGTAGTAATCCTTCAAGCCGGTGGTGTGGCAACTGTACTGTATCATAACACACAGAAACGCACCAGCTTTCAGCATCTGCATGTGTGTTATGACTGTAGCCTCAGCCTCATGTTTTTAAGTAAACATTGGTCTTTAATGTAAGTTACTACCGCTGAAAAACGAGAGAATTAAACCTCCCAGGATTTACGAGTAGTCGTCAAGTCTGATTCCATTTTAAAAACAAAGCAATTGCTGAATGGTTGTGCTGGTTTTCCTTTTGGTTAAACATGGGCCTCTAGAGCTGGATATAAGTTCTTGCAAGAGGTAACTTGTTCAATCAAATAGGTTTAGAATTTACTGCTGCAGTGGATGGAAGTTTGCTCTGCAACTTGATAAATTTTGGTTGTCGGAATCAGAAGCTCAGGGTTTCCAATCACCCCTCTCATTAAAGACTGACATACCGATGCCCACGGGGACGCGGGTGGCGCTGTGGGTTAAACCACAGAGCCTAGGACTTGCTGATCAGAAGGTTGGCGGTTCGAATCCCCGCGACAGGGTGAGCTCCCGTTGCTCGGTCCCAGCTCCTGCCAACCTAGCAGTTCAAAAGCACGTCAAAGTGCAAGTAGATAAATAGGTACAGCTCCGGCGGGAAGGTAAACGGCATTTCAGTGCGCTGCTCTGGTTCGCCAGAAGCGGCTTAGTCATGCTGGCCACATGACCCGGAAGCTGTACACCGGCTCCCTCGGCCAATAAAGCGAGATGAGTGCCACAACCCCAGAGTCGGTCATGACTGGACCTAATGGTCAGGGGTCCCTTTACCTTTACCTTACCGATGCCCACATCCCATCACAATATCTTCAGGTCTGCAACTACCTGTGAGTAAGCCTTGGTGAAGTGGTGAAGAGGCACAATTTAAAGAGGAAACCAAGAGGGGACTGCATCCCCCGGAAATGTGGAGATGTCAGAATCATTCTACAAGGTCACAAACAGTTCAAAATCACCACTGGAGGTGAACGCCTTGATATTTGGACCTTTGCCTGCACAATAAAAAGTTGATTTTTTAAAAAACAAAAAATTTAAAATGCATGCAAGCTGGATTTATTTTTACAGCTTGCAGAATTCCCTTCGACTGGTCAGAGGCTCTCTTGCAAGACGAGAAAAATCTGGGGGGGATTCCCCCATCGGTAGTTTCCAGCCACAGGGGCTGCCCAGCCTCAAGAAAAAGAGTCAAATGTCTCTTTATAGAGGACGGCCTGAAATGCTGACAGACTCATCATGCAAATAAGATGGAGAGAAAAATGAAATTGTGGCAGATGCAGATCTGACCTACCAGAAGGGTGGAAAATGTGGTTGTTTGTTTAAAACACACACACACACACACACACACACACACACACACACCCCAGCAGTATATCAAGAGTCTTTTAAGTCAAGGCAACCATCAATTCCTGGAAGGCGTAAAGAGAGATTTGCCGCCAACCATCTAATATACTCCAAGCTGGTCCCAGCTTTGTGGGAAACTGGGGACTTTCAAAGCACGAAATCCAAGCTGTCCTGCTGTCGTTTTGCCCCAGAACAGCTGCAAATGAAAAGACAGGGAGGCCCAATGGGATCCCAACAATTCTTTGAGACGTGTGAAACAAACCCAAGCCGGTAGCCCCCAGTGATTGAGCCTACACATCTTTTGCCACACCAACGCATCTTTCATTTCTTACTTCTGTGGCTGCTTCCCAGACCCTAGGTGCGCACAGCACAGTTGTGCAAGCACATAATGCACAAGTCCCTAGCCCTGCATAAGAACCTAGGAAGATGATGCCTTATGCAGAGCTGGAGGATTGGGTCCATCAGAGCTGTCTGCACTGACTGGCAGCAGCCCTCCAGGGTTCTGGGCAGGGGTTTTTCCCAGCCCTACCTTGAATTACCGGGGATCGAACCTGCCGGCCTTCGACAGACAAGGTAGACGCTCTGAGCTGTGGTCGCTCTCTCTGGGCAAATAGGCTAGTAACCCGTTCGCCAGGCCAATATTTGGTACAGATGCCAATTTACTGCATTCATTCCAATGACAAAATGTGGAAAAGGGGAGATCTCTCCCCACTTACGGGGAACAACTGGAATTAATTCTGGGGTAGCCCAGTGGGTAGAGTATGAGACTCTATAACCGCAGGGTCGTGGGTTTGAACCCCACGTTGGGCAGGGGGTTAGACTAGATCGTGGTCCTTTCTAACTCTACAATTCTATGATAATTGAGGCGATGCTTCTGCAGCCTATTACAATCAAAGAGACGCAACACACTTACTCCCTTGTGGGGAGTTTTTTCCCAGGTACAGCCTTGACAGAAATGACGGGGACTGCACGTTTATCTGGAAATGCAAGCGGCTGAATCAGATGTTGTGTACTGTCAAAATAAAGGGTCTAGATGCAGGATTCTGCTTCCCTTCTCCTTCTGAAGAATATTTGGCAAATATCTATTTTAAGGCTCACCATGAGGCTCACTGACCCCTTATATTAACAATAGCTCACGTTCTATTTCTGGCCAGAGTCTGAGATATAACAGGGAGAGGACATATCCTTTCTGGATCACTGCCGAATTGCAAGAGGCTTCTATATGCTTCCAGAGCTGAGACAGCTAGCAATGCAAGAGGCAGGTGATCAACTGACCCTTTTAAAAATCGCTTAATTAATTAAATAACTCAATTAACTAATTTCTTAACTAAACAATTAATCTAAATTAAAGGTGGGTAACCAGCCTACCTTTGGCATCCCCAGCCACTCTGGGTGGCTTCCAACAAAGTATTAAAATACAGTGGTTTGTTAAACATTAAAAGCTTCCCTAAACAGGGATGCCTTCAGATGTCTTCTAAATGTCTGGTAGTTGTTGTTCTCTTTGACATCTGGTGGGAGGGCGCTCCACAGGGCGGGTGCCACTACCGAGAAGGCCCTCTGCCTGGTTCCCTGTAACCTGGCTTCTCGCAGAAAGGCCTCGGCCCAGTATACCTGAAGGAGCATCTCCACCCCCATTGTTCAGCCCAGAAACTGAGGTCCAGCTCCGAGGGCCTTCTGGTGGTGCCCTCACTGCGAGAAGCCAAGTTACAGGGAACCAGGTAGAAGGCCTTCTCGGTGGTGGCACCCGCCCTGTGGAATGCCCTTCCTTCAGATGACAAGGAAATACAGAACTACCTACTTTTAGAAGACACCTGAAGGCAGCCCCTGTATCAGAATGTTTTTTAATGTCTAAGGCTTTGTTATGTTTTTATATATGCTGTAAGCTGCTCAGAGTGTCTGGGGAAACCCAGCCAGATGGGTGGGGTATAAATAATAAAAAATAAATTATTATTATTATTATTATTATTATTATTATTAACAACACTGCCCTGCGGCACACCCTTTTGTGGACTACGACTTCATCAGATCACATCGCAATGTTTTTCCTCTTTGCCAAGCAGGCTGGAAGCAAATGAAAGGCAGGATTACATAAGAGCAATCTCTTGCTATTCGCACTAAGACAACACACTGCATTTCCTTGAGAGACCACATTTCCCAAACGGCGTGGCGAAAGGGGAAGAAATCTGAGTGACGCAGCAGCAACAGCAACAGCCGGTTTGCCAGTTCCCCATGGGGGAAAAAAGAGAGAGAGTTTGGAGCTTTGGAAGGGATTCAGGATGATGAGGAGATTTTTTACCGTAAGTGCTTAGTAACTCTAGAAGCAGAACAGCCCCTCTCCCGTCTCTCCAGGGGCATGACACATGCTAACTTTCAGCCGTGTTTCGTTGCAATTTTAAAAAGCAAGTTGCTGTATTATTGCTTCGTGGTTACACAGAGAGAGGGGAGAGAGCCATAGCAAGATTTTTCTCTACTTTGCTGATTCACCCCACTCAGGGAGGTAGCAAAACAATGAGGTTATTCCTCTCCACGAACCACAGCCCTGGAATGAGCTAGGGAGATGAGCCCAGCACAAAACGAATGGAAACGTCTGAGGGAGAGTCATTTAAAAAGAGGACCTGAATTCCGATGTGGTTACAGTTCTTCCCGGCTACTCAGAAGTACAAAGCAATCGCACTTTGGTACATATCTGGCATTCTTTTTTTCACATTTGTACTCCACCTTTCCTTTTCTAAGGAGCTCGAGGTGCTTTCCACAATTCTCTGCCCCCCCCCCCAATTATCCTCAAAACAGCCCTACAGGGTAGGTTCGGCTGAGAGTAAATGACTGTCCCGGGTTCAAATCAAGTGGCCGAGCGGCAATTTGAACCCTGGTCTCCCAGGTCCTAGGCCATGGGTAGGCAACCTAAGGCCCGCGGGCCAGATCCAGCCCAATTGCCTTCTAAATCCGGCCCGTGGATGGTCCGGGAATCAGCGTGTTTTTACATGAATAGAATGTGTCCTTTTATTTAAAATGCATCTCTGGGTTATTTGTGGGACCTGTCTGATGTTTTTACATGAGCAGAATGTGTGCTTTTATTTAAAACGCATCTCTGGGTTATTTGTGGGGCATAGGAATTCGTTCATTCCCCCCCCCCAAAAAAAATATAGTCTGCCCCCCACAAGGTCTGATGGACAGTGGACCGGCCCCCTGCTGAAAAAGTTTGCTGACCCCTGTCCTGGGCCGACGCTCTAACCACTAGGCCACAGAGTGGTGACTTCAACAGCCTCCACCCCACTAAAAAAAGCAGAAAAATATGACAAACAAGGATCTGAAACTCAGAGCTTGGAGTTTACTGCACAAGAGAGAACATTCCCAAGCAACCATTCTGTCTATCATCCATCTATCTATCTATCTATCTATCTATCTATCTATCTATCATCTTTTTATTTTGCATTCCACCTCCCCCCCCCCCCCGAGGAGCTGAAGGTGGCGGACAAGGGTCTCCCCCTCCCCATTTTCTCCTTACAACAACCCTGTGAAGTAGGATAGGCTAGGAGACAGCAATTGGCTCAAGAACACCCAGTGAGATTCCTACATTGCGGGGGTTGGACTAGATGACCCCGGTAGTCCCTTCCAAATCTACAATTCTATGGCTGACCAGGAGATTTGAACCCCAGACCTCCAAGTCCCAGCCCACCACCATAACCATCACACAGCACTGGTTCCCTTGAAAGGAAGTGAGCTGCAACATGCCCTTGTAGGTACAGAGACAGCTGCTTTATGCTGAGTATCTAGTTCAGAAATGTCCATACTGACTGATAGAGCATCTCTCCAGGGCTTCAGGCAGGTTGTCCCCATCCCTACCTGTGGAGATGCCCCGGGCAGTACCTGGGTCCTTCTGGATGCAAAGCAGGTGCTCTAACCCTGAGCTCGTCCAGGTGAAAGGATGGAGAGACCCTCTGTTTGTCTCCCTAGGCAACCAGCCATCAGTCAAAAATGGACCATCCTGGGCTAGGAAGAATATAGGGAAGCCTTTTAACGTGTTAATGTTTTATTATGTTTTAATAATAATTTTTTATTTATACGCCGCCCTTCCCGGTTCAGAAAACCGGGCTCAGGATGGCTAATAACAAATTTAAAACCTTTAATTGATGCAACAAAACAGCATAAAATACAGTCTAGAACATGAATAACAATAAATTCAGAATTCAAAAATCAATTTAGAGGGAAAATCCATCCAATAAACATTAGATAATCACCAGGGCTAGCTGGCTAAATTAATCCTATTTGGGCCAGCGAGGAGACCAGGGGAGAATTAGCTGTGGGATCCCAGAGTGGGTAATCTTCATAGAAAGGGGAGGGAGAGGGAAGGAAGGAGAATAAAAGATCAGGTTAGGTTCAAATCGAAAGCCAGGAGGAATAGCTCTGTCTTACAGTTCCTGTGGAAGGAAGTTAAATCCTGCAGGGCCCTCGTCTCATGGGACAGAGCATTCCACCAGGTCGGAGCCATCACTGAGAAGGCCCTGGCCCCAGTGGAGGATAATCTGACTTCCCTAGGGCCCAGGACCTCTAAACTATGGTTATTCATGGACCTTAAGGTCCTCTGTGGGGCATACCAAGAGAGGCGGTCCCATAAATTTATATATGTTGGAAGCTTCCCAGAGTGGCTGGAGCAACCCAGTCAAGTGGGCAGGGTACATCTTCTTCTTCTTCTTCTTCTTCTTCTTCTTCTTCTTCTTCTTCTTCTTCTTCTTCAGCTACGGTCCCACATGGCAAGGCAAGCAGCCTCCAGATTTTTAGGGGTATTGGAGAAACGCAACATAGCACATAGGAAGCTGCCTCATACTTATACTGAGTCAGACTGCTGGTACCCATCAAGCTTAAGGACTGCCTACACTGACCGGCAGCAGCTGTCCAGATTTTCCAGACAAAAGTCGCAGAGGAGTGTGCAAACTTCCCGTCATCTCCGAGCAAAGAGAAATAATAAATCCATTTGAATTTCTCCTCCCACCATAGCGCAGACAGAACTCAGCTTTATGGTTTAAAAGTCTCAAGTTGCCCTTTCCAGCCTGTGTGTGTGTGTGTGCGCCTAGCTCTCAGCTCCGGGACGTCAGCCAAAGTCGATTACAGGCGACTTAAAGGGATGGAGAAAGGGAGGAAAGCAGGGAAAAGACTCAAGAGCGGGCGGGAATCAATTCGCAGCTGTAGCAAGACCGGCAAGGTCTCGGCAGCCAAAAAACATGAGGCTAAATTTACAGGTCCGGGGGAAGGCAGGAGTAGCAAACTGATCTTGAACGGGGAGAAAACAGACAACAGCTCTCTCTCCCCTGGCACACAAGTACTGACAGAGCTAGGTCATCTTGCTTGTTATTGAGAAACCGGGGCAGAGAGCACGAGGGCTGACGCACAAAGGCTTGTCAAGTGTTTACTGGCAAAGGTACTTTGCCACTTTCCCTGCTGCTGCGAACGCACCACCGGCGCTGTGTAATTTCTCACGCCGCACAGATAAGCAGGTGGAGGAAAATGGAACAGAAGTAGCCAGGGGCGAGGCGCTAAGCTCCTCCGGCGCATCCACCTGTCACCGTGGGTCCTCGGTTTGGGGAGGAGGTGATGCCCTATGACTCAGCTACCTTTGCGTCAAGCAAAGCTAATCCCTTTTCTCTGATCTTCTGCCGCTCCCGCAGGAAGAACGTTCAGCTTCAACCTGACAACTAGACATTTGCTTCCCAAACTTTCAATTGCCGGAACAGGGATTTCTTCCTCTCCCCATTGAAGCGGGAGATACAATGCGTGCCACACTGGTTGTCATGCCTAGCCACGGTTTAGGGTTGCGAGAGCAAGGCTCTGGCTGCAAGAAGGGAATCAGACTTCCACTTCAGGTTAACCACAGTTTAGTGGGTCAGCAGAAACCTAAGTTATGACCCATCTCAATTCTGGTTAGCTGAAAGAAGGCAGCTCCATGAACCAGAGGTGAAAGATAGGTTTGTTTGTCTTCTCAATAGACCACAGTTATTGAGGTTGAATCCTGACAAGACAGAAGTACTGTTTTGGGGGGACAGGAGGCGGGCAGGTGTGGAGGACTCCCTGGTTCTGAATGGGGTAACTGTGCCCCTGAAGGACCAGGTGCGCAGCCTGGGAGTCATTTTGGACTCACAGCCGTCCATGTAGGCACAGGTCAATTCTGCATCCAGGGCAGCTGTTTACCAGCTCCACCTGGTATGCAGGCTAAGACCACACCTGCCCTCAGACTGTCTTGCCAGAGTAGTGCATGCTCTGGTTATCTCCCGCTTGGACCACTGCAATGCGCTCTACGTGGGGCTACCTTTGAAAGTGACCCGGAAACTGCAATTCATCCAGAATGCAGCAGCTAGACTGGTGACTGGGAGCGGCCGCTGAGACCACATAACACCGGTCTTGAAAGACCTACATTGGCTCCCAGTACGTTTCCAAGCACAATTCAAAGTGCTGGTGCTGACCTTGAAAGCCCTAAACGGCCTCGGTCCAGTATACCTGAAGGAGCGTCTCCACCCCCATCATTCTACCCGGACACTGAGGTCCCGCGCGGAGGGCCTTCTGGTGGTTCCATCCCTGTGAGAAGCCAAGTTACAGGGAACCAGGCAGAGGTAGTGGCGCCCTCCCTGTGGAACACCCTCCCACCAGATGTCAAAGTGAACAACAACTACCAGACTTTTAGAAGACATCTGAAGGCAGTCCTGTTTAGGGAAGCTTTTAATGTTTGCTGTATTATGGTATTTTAAAATTTTGTTGGAAGCCGCCCAGAGTGGCTGGGGAAGCCCAGCCAGATGGGCGGGGTATAAATAATAAATTATTATTATATTATTATTATTATAGGTAGGATTAACCACAATTTGGAAGGATTTGACAACAAAGCAACTTCTGTAAAGCAACCATGGCCAACTGTCATGGATGTTTAAGCTGAGATTCCTGCATGGAAGGGGTTGGACTAGATTGACTCTCGATGTCCCTTCCAATTCTACAATTCTATGTTCTATGATAGATGTACAATTTCACAAAAATATTCACCAATGTTTGCATAATATAAGAAGTCAGTGCTATGGAAGTGATTTAAGTATTGTGCAAAAAAAAGGGGGGGAGGGAGAGAGAAGCAAGCTGTGTTCTGGCCTCAGTTTTTTCAACACACTGGCTTTTCCCTGCAGGCATCCTGTTGCTACAAAAGGCCAGATAAACAGGGCCGTTTTATTGCCGAATTAAAAAAGGAAAACAGCCCGCAACAATAGCAACATCGGGGAAAGGAACAGCGGACTTAAATCATCAAGTTGTCCAAGCCAGAAATTTCCTAGAGCCACAGCAATGCTGCCACTCAGCAGAGCAAAAGGATCATGGGATATTCTGAGAACAATTAGATGGTGGGCATGGTCATTTACAGATGGATGAGCCCCTCCTGTTCAATTTCAATGCAACACCACCTGGGGATCCAGAATGTGGAGGAACTTGGGACTTCACCCAGCAAAACTACACAATATCTGAAGACTCAATAAAAGTCCAGAATTTGGTTGCCACCACGGTGGAAGTCAACGAAGGCACACCCTCATAGAGGCTGGGAAGAGCATGCAATGAGTTTTGAAATGTACGTAGGAATCCGATGAACCAGACCATTCGTTCATCTAGTTCAGTTCTGTCTAAAGTGACAAGCACCAGGGTTTTCAGACACGGGAACATTCCCAGCCCTACCTAGAGACCTGGGACCTTCTGCATAATAACAAAAACTGATAATTTTATTATTTATATCCCACCCATCTGCAAAGGAAGGACTCTCTGCCAGTGTGTTCCTCAACCTTCACAGCAAACACATGTGGGCACTGTGCCGGCAGTCTGGGGGTGGAATCCACAGCACCCCAGGGAGTCAGCGCAAATTGTGGCACATTAACTTAAGACAGCATCCAGGACTACCCCAAATTCTTGGGTGGATGCACTTTGCAGGAGAAGACAGAGGAACAGCGTTTCATGGAAGCTTGCTCGCGGCGACTGACCATCTCGTGGAGGAACTGCAGAGCTCCCACAGAAGACAGCTTTCAAGACCACTGTCATTGTGGTTCGCACTCAGTTCCCCCACCGCTTCCTGCGCCTAAAAGCGGAACTTTGATCTCCCCTAAAGGATGCAGAACAGAGGAGTGGCTTAAATGGTCTGTCCAATATTGTTGGACTGCAACTCCCATGATGCTCAATCATTGCCCATGCTGGCTGCAGCTGAGAAGAGTTGTAGTCCAACGTGATGCAGCTAGGATACCTCAGTTGGCAGAGCATGAGTCATGAGTTGGAGTCCCATGTTAGGCAAAAGATTCGTGCATTGCAAAGGTTAGATTAGGTGTCTCTCATGGTCCCTTCCAACTCCACAATTCTAGGATTATGAGACCTGGTGTAGCTCAGTTGGTAGAGCACAAGACTCTTGTTAATCTCAAGGTCATGGGTTCGAGTCCCACATTGGGCCAAAGATTTCTGCACTGCAGGGGGTTGGACTGGATCAGGCTTCCTCAGACGTGGCCCTCCAGATGTTTCTGGCCCACAACTCCCATGATCCCTAGCTAGCAGGACCAGTGGTCAAGGATGATGGGAATTGTAGTCTCAAAACAACTGGAGGGCCGAGTCTGAGGAAGCCTGGACTAGATGACCCTCAGAGGACCTTAAGTTCCATGAATAACCATAGTTTAGAGGTCCCAGGCCCTAAGGAAGTCAGACTATCCTCCACCAGGGCCAGGGCCTTCTCAGTGATGGCTCCAACCTGGTGGAATGCTCTGTCCCATGAGACTAGGGCCCTTCAGGATTTAACTTCCTTCCGTCGGGCCTGTAAGACAGAGCTATTCCGCCTGGCCTTTAATTTGAATTCAGCCTGATCTTCTATTTCCCTTCTCTTCCCTCCCCCTCCCCTTTTATGAAGATTACCCGCTCTGAGACCCCACAGCTAATTCTCCCCTGGCCTCCTCACTGGCCCAAGTAGGACCAATTCAGCCAACTAGCCCTGGGGATTATCTAATGCTTATTTCCCCTAAATTGATTTTTGAATTTTATTGTTATTCATGTTTTCATACTGTATTTTATGCTGCTTTTATAATTAAGTGTTTTAAATTTGTTGTTAGCCACCCTCAGCCTGGTTTTTGAACCGGGAAGGGCGGGGTATAAATAAAAACGTATTATTATTATTATTATTATTATTATTATTATTATGGTCCCTTCGAACTCAACAATTCTACGATTGGGAGGGCACAATATTGACTACCCCTGCTGAGCAAAGTCACCAACACCCTATTATTCCTGGAAACTCAGGTGGGAAGATTCCTGACCTCCCCTTTGCAAATGTCTCTTTCCTTTCGAAAGGTTCTCTGAGTACATCTGAACGATGTGATTTAAAAAAAACAAAAACAAAACCATGTTGGTGTTAAGGAGCATATGCAAAGGAAGAAAATAAAAAGGGCTGCTGCTTTCAGCTACAAAAGGTTCCTTTCATGGCCCGTGGCAATGAAGTCTGGCCTCTTCGCAGAGAATCCTATCAGGGAATGACAGAATGGGGGGAAAAACGTGATTCTCTGGGGCTTCTGATAAGGAAAGAAGGACACTGATATTCCTCCACGGGGAGGAGTCAATCCAGTTTTTTTAGAAGGGAGAAAGTTCAATCAACATGCCAGGGATGCCTAAGGTTGACACAACTCTCTCTCTGATGTTCCAGCTACAGCCATGAGTCACCTAATCAAACATTTCCTGACATCAGATAGCTGCAAGTCCTATGTAACTGCAGAAAGTTTGGGGGGGTGGGGTGTGCGCTGAAAACGGCTACCATGACATAAAGGGAGCCTGTAGCAACTGATACAAGCCTGAGCTGAGAAGGATTTAAGGATAGGAGATCTCCAGCAACTCCCCTACACGAAAAGAGCGATTCAAACAAATAAAGGAGGCATGATTTAGGCAAGAATCATTATAACAAAATAAATAAGGAAGCAGGGAGAGAAACTCAAGAGCAGCACCACTTCTCCAAAACTTTTAGAGACACTTTCCAGAGGAAATGAGTAACCCTCTTGTTATTAAGTGATAAATCGCAGCCAAGAGGAAGTGCCATTGTCTCCTATTTATTTTTAATCTCCAAACACCCATGTAGCTGGCACCGCGTTCCAAACGCACGCCGATAAGCCGGGGCTGTTTGAAGGAGACGGAGGCTCCTGGGATGAGATTCCGGTTTTGGTACTCAGTCAGGAACCGGAGAAAAGCGCAGAGGAGGCTGGAGAGGCGTCTCTGCCAGAGAGCAAAACCGGCCTGTTTGCTCCGCTATTGGGTTTTATTATTCCCAAAGGGCAACAATGCATGTGTAATTGATGAGGTCTGGCATGCTGGGTTTCAGGGGAAGATGGGACTGTTCCTAGCCGGGAGAGAGCGGCCAAAATGGAAAGCGAGTTATGTAACTCCTCGAGAGGAGGCCGCTGTCCTCAGATTACACCCAACACGCCCTCCATCCCTCAACAAATTATCCCGAGACATTTTGCTGATCGCCACCAGCTCGCTCTCATCTCTGTGCTTCGTTATGGAACCGGGAAAATCATCCTTCAGAGAGGATAGGAAGTCCCCGCTACCGTTTTATTATTAAAGATGTTCTTGATTTACATAAGTATGTGTAATGTCTCTCGTATTTTTTCCATGTAACATTTTTACAAATCTGTTTCATTTGTTGAGACATTAGGAAGAAAAGGGGTGGAGGGGGGGTCGGGTGGTGGTGCTTCTATTTTGCTTAATGTATGTAGGGTTTGGTGTCAGCGTTACTCGTGCCGGTTCTCTGCTGTTCACTTGTGTTCCTTTGGTGGTGAGAGAGGTTGGGGTTGGCCTAGGGTGTGGTTGTTCATTTGTGGTTGGCTGTGGTGGCCTTTGTTTTCATGTGTGAGTGGGGTGGGTGGGTGTTTTGGATCAGGTTAGCCATATTGATTTGTATGCTGTTGGTGGATTATTGTCATTGTCCTGTTGGGCTGTGTACGCAATAATGGGGAGCCATACCAGGGTAAAGGCGTCTTCTTCTATTTGTCCCCGTGTCAGTTTCAGTTTATTGGTTAATTTTTCTAGTAGGGCTGTTTCCCATACTATTTGGTACCATTGGTCCATGCTTACTCCTGACAGGTCTCTCCAGTGTCTAGTTATGGTGTTTCTGGCTGCTGAAAGTAGGTGGGTTATGAGTTATTTGTGGTGTAAGTGGGCATTGTTGTCTTGGAAGATGTTTAGTAGGACTAGTTCTGGGGTGATGTCTAATACTTGCTTAGTTATTTTACATATTTCTCATATGGCTGTTGTCCAGAATAGTTGGATTTTGGGGCACTCCCACCACATGTGGAGGTATGTGCCTGTGGAGGTGCACCCTCTCCAGCATTTTGGTGAGGTTCCTGGGCGTATTAGTGCTAGTTTTAGGATAGGAAGTCCCTGGTAGTGTTTGCAAATTATTTGCCGCACAGAGAGAGAGCTAGGGAGCAAGGAATTATGTTTTTGCTAGGCCAATTGTGCAATCCATGTGAATGCAGAAGCTGGACTCGGCCAACCCAAGTTCAGTATTGCTTCCGCTCCACGTTCTCGGGTGGGCGGGGGCAAGTTGCTCTCTCCCAGCCTCAGTTCCCCATCTGCAACCCTTGAATGCACGAATTCAAGAGTGACCGGCCTCGCAAGGTTATTCTGATTGCAAAACAGAAAGTATGCAATGTGAAGCATTTCGTTTTCAAAGGATGGAATGGCAAAATGAGGCTCTGCGTGGAATGAAGCCTTTCCCAACCAGATGCCCTTCAGATGTTTCAGACTATGAAAATCCGCCCCCAGCCAGCACAGCTGTATGGAAAGGGGAAGTTTGCAGGGTCTCTGTCTAAATAATAATAATAATTTATTATTTATACCCCACCCATCTGGCTGGGCTTCCCCAGCCACTCTGGGCGGCTTCCAGCAGAATATTAAAATACAATGATTCAACAAATATTAAAAGCTTCCCTAAATAATAATAATAGAGCACATGCGGTCTATATCTGACAGGCAAGAGTTGCCAAAGGGGGGGTGGGGCGTAGAGACCACAATTGATGGTGTCTAGTTGTGGATGTAAGGGACGTGGGTGGCGCTGTGGTCTAAACCACAGAGCCTAGGGCTTGCCAATCAGAAGGTCGGCGGTTCGAATCCCCATGACGGGGTGAGCTCCCGCTGCTCGGTCCCTGCTCCTGCCCACCTAGCAGTTTGAAAGCACATCGAAGTGCAAGTAGATAAATAGGTACTGCTCCGGTGGGAAGGTAAACGATGTTTCCGTGTGCTTCTCTGGTTCGCCAGAAGCGGCTTATTCATGCTGGCCGCTGTCTGCGGACAAACACTGGCTCCCTCGGCCAGTAAAGCGAGAAGAGCACCGCAACCCCAGAGTCATCCACGACTGGACTTAACGGTCAGGGGTACCTTTACCTTTTAGTTTGGGATAGAGAAGGAGTTGTGCAGGAAGACTTAGAGTTCAGGATGGGATTGATAAGCAGGAACTAAGTGTTCGGGGGGGGGGGACAAAAAGATAGCCTTGTGGGCTCATTAAGAAGAAGAAAGCACCAAATATTAGAACAAGCAACCCCTTTGCTAGAGTAAGCAAAATGTCACAAAAGTATGCAAGCTTCTGAATTCTCCAGAACTCATCATCAGGACTAGAGTTTCTCCAGCTGTTTTTGGACTACAATTCCCACCACCCCCGACCGTTGATCCTGCCAGCTAGGGATGATGGGAGTTGTAGTTCAAAAACAGCTGGAGACTCAAGTTTGGGAAACCCTGGGCTAGACAGTAAACTGAGTGGGGCACAGCGAAGAAGTTGCTACCTCCACTCACATTCAGTCTTAAGGGTGGGACCGGATATGGACTTCAAGGCTTCACCATCAGCCAACCTGTCCCCCCCCAAAAAAAAAAACCTCCACACTTGTAAACAGACTAGAGGTAGCGAACATGGTGTCATTGGACTACAGATGCTACAGGGCTACAAATCCCACCAGCCAGCTGGATGAAGGGTCAAGAATGATGTGGGTTGGAGTCCAAAATCATCTGTAAAGCCTCAAATTATTTGCTCACTCTATGAGCATCCTTGGGATGTGGGTGGCGCTGTGGTTAAACCACAGAGCCTAGGACTTGCCAATCAGAAGGTCGGCGGTTCAATCCCTGCGACGGGGTGAGCTCCTGTTGCTCGGTCCCAGCTCCTGCCAACCTAGCAGTTCGAAAGCACGTCAAACTGCAAGTAGAGAAATAGGTACCGCTCCAGCAGGAAGGTAAACGGTGTTTCTGTGTGCTGCTCTGGTTCGCCAGAAGGGGCTTAGTCATGCTGGCCACATGACCCGGAAGCTGTATACCAGCCAGTAAAGCAAGATGAGCGCCACAACCCCAGAGTCAGCCACAACTGGACCTAATGATCAGGGGTCCTACCAGAATAGGGAACAGAGGAGTCTGCCTTATACAGAGCCAGACCATTGGTTCAGTCAGTGTTTCCTACACTGACTGGAAGGAGCGGTCCAGGATTCCCAGCCCAGGACCTTCCCAGCCCTACCTGGAGATGTCATTGGGGATTAAACCTTCTGCATGCAGCGCAGATGTCCTACCGGTGGGAAAAGGCCTCTTCCTCTAAGAAACCTTTGACAGTGATCTGATAGGTAGAACTGCGCAAATCTAGACGAGAGCAAGCCAGCACGGGGGGGGGGCAGGGCAAGATCTCGTCATTCAGGGTCAGCATTCCTGAAAGGGACAGACATTTGGGAGATAATCTCTACCTCCGAGACTCTGCATTCTGAAGTGTGTTGCAACCAAGTGAGCTGCAATCCGGGGCTGGGGGGGGGGGTCAGATTGCCCGTGATGCAAACTCAAGAGGAACAAGTGAAGTTCGGGTTTCTCCTAGCAGCTTGTGCAACACCCAACCTTGGGATGGAGAAGAGACCTCTGTCAACTCTGAGGTCACCTGATACAACCCACCTAGAGGACTGGGAAGAGGATTCTTCCATCACAGGTCAAGCTAATCCAGTCTAAGGGAACTTCACTGGGAGAGCCCTTTGATATGCATCTCAGATTGCAAATCCAATCCGGCCACTTTGACATAGAATCACAGAATCATAGAGTTGGAAGAGACCACAAGGGCCATCGAGTCCAACCCCCTGCCAAGCAGGAAACACCATCAGAGCACTCCTGACATATGGTTGTCAAGCCTCTGCTTAAAGACCTCCAAAGAAGGAGACTCCACCACACTCCTTGGCAGCAAATTCCACTGTCAAACAGCTCTTACTGTCAGGAAGTTCTTCCTAATGTTTAGGTGGAATCTTCTTTCTTGTAGTTTGGATCCATTGCTCCGTGTCCGCTTCTCTGGAGCAGCAGAAAACAACCTTTCTCCCTCCTCTATGTGACATCCTTTTATATATTTGAACATGGCTATCATATCACCCCTTAACCTCCTCTTCTCCAGGCTAAACATGCCCAGCTCCCTTAGCCGTTCCTCATAAGGCATCGTTTCCAGGCCTTTGACCATTTTGGTTGCCCTCCTCTGGACACGTTCCAGTTTTTCAGTGTCCTTCTTGAACTGTGGTGCCCAGAACTGGACACAGTACTCCAGGTGAGGTCTGACCAGAGCAGAATACAGTGGCACTATTACTTCCCTTGATCTAGATGCTATACTCCTATTGATGCAGTCCAGAATTGCATTGGCTTTTTTAGCTGCCGCGTCACACTGTTGGCTCATGTCAAGTTTGTGGTCAACCAAGACTCCTAGATCCTTTTCACATGTACTGCTCTCAAGCCAGGTGTCCCTCATCTTGTATTTGTGCCTCTCATTTTTTTTGCCCAAGTGCAATACTTTACATTTCTCCCTGTTAAAATTCATCTTGTTTGTTTTGGCCCAGTTCTCTAATCTGTCAAGGTCGTTTTGAAGTGTAATCTGTTGGTTTCTGCTTTCCTTCACTGTGCAGCTCTGCTTGTCATGAGACAGGTGTTTACATTCCACAGTCTGTACTGTTGGAGTTTCTCACGGGAAAGGGAGACTGGATGTGACGTACACTGGTTTCCTGTTTTTTCACTGTGTAATTCTCTCCAAGCTGTTGAGGAGAGAGGATGCATTTTTCTGCTCCGGCAGGGCAAGATGTCTTTCTGTAATATACCAGCTTTGAACTGTAAATAAAGCAATATAGAGTATGTAACACATTTTCCTCATCCTTCCGCTGGGCACGACAGACTCTGCTTAAATCAACACGTGGTTATGGACTCCAGAGGTCGAATCGGAGTGCCGGCAGAGGATCGGAATGCAGAGGGACGGATCGGAAAGGAATCTGCTCTGCGCGTAGAAGTGATTGATGAGGTATGTGCTACTGCTCCGGGCAGCCTGCCAGCTTCAAGTTAATGGCTTTATGGCTGGACTTTGAACTTTTAAAGCCGGTTTTGCCGGGAATAGGCAAAGGCTCCCAGGCACAAGTCACTATGCTGGGGAAATCGAAAGTAACTTTTAAGTGTGCCTTTGGATAAGGCAGCTGCAGCAGTGACGCAGCAAGATTTAAAGCAGCATAGATATGACGCTGAAGGCTAATGCCAGGGTCATGATGGCCCTTCAGGATGCTTGTGGGATTCCCAAGCTCAACAAGAAAAATTACAGCGATTGGGTTCAGTATGCAGAGGCAATTCTGCGGAAAGAGGGTTTGTTTGAAGTGATTACAGGAACCCCCCCAGTTCCAGTTACAGATGCATGGGAAGCTAAGGATTCCAAAGCAAGGGGAACTCTTACATTGATAGTATCCCCAGAAGAGCTCTGTCTATTGCGTGATAAGACCTCAGCCAGAGAAATTTGGGACGCTCTGAAAGAGGCTCACTTAAGGACAGAAGCTGGATCCACTATGTTTTATTTTAACAAGCTGCATAATATGGCTCTTGCTGAAGGTGGAGATGTGCGTTTACATTTGATGGAGATGCAAAATCTGAGACATGAGCTGCAACAGAGAGGACTCAACTTTCCAGAGGCTGTGTATTCTTTCATGATACTACAATCTTTGGGTTCAGGTTGGGAGTCTGTTGCAACCCAGATTGCTGTGCAACCAACTGCTCAGCTGACAGTGGACTTTGTTACTGCCGTGATTTTAAATGAAGCAGATCGCCGGGGTGCTAGCTGCATGGGCAAGGGAGTCTTCACAGACGTCATCCCATAGTGCAGTGGAACCACCAGATGGCGCCAAAGCTTTGAAGGCAGTCAAATGCTACTCGTGTGGACGTCTAGGCCATATGAAGAGGGAATGCAGACATCCCAGGGCCAAGACAGAGCAGCGCAGCGAAAGCTCATCGCGCGGAAAAGGCCGAGGCAAAGGCAAAGGTCCGGTGTCTAGGACAACCCAGCACAAGGCTATGGTTTCACGCTTCACTCCAAAGGTTGCAGAGGTCCAGAAGACGTCTAGATCTTTCTTCGTTGTTGATTCAGCGGCCACCCACCACATGTGCAACGATAAGAAACTGTTTGTGTCTTTTACACCGCAGGAAGGTGCGATTCACCAGGCGGATGACCACACTATTCCCAGTAAAGGCTACGGAACTGTTGTTCTTCACAGTTTGGACTTATCGATACAGAATGTGCTTTACGTGCCAGACGCCAAACATAATCTGCTCAGTGTTGGACAGCTGAATGAGCGGAACATTGACGTTTCCTTCAAGAACAAGAAGTGCATCATCACAAAGAAAAATGATTATGTATTGCATGCAGAATATGTTGATCATTTGTTTGTTTTGTATTATGATGATGTGGTGCAGGATGACACTTGTTGCATTGCAGGTTCTAACAAAAGTTTGCATGCAGAATGTATTCACGATTTTCATCGCAAATTTGGTCATTTGCATTTTGAGGCAGTATCTAAAATGCCTGCCTTGGTTGAAGGTATGACTATTAAACCCTGCAGGTACCACATGAAGTGCAAAGCATGCGCAGCAAACAAGGTGAAAATGGCTGCGAAAGGTAAGGTGTCTAGTAGGAAAGCTACAGAACCATACCAGGTTGTTCATGCTGATTTGGTTGGACCACTACCGCCCTCTTTGGGTGGAAATAGATACTTCATGGTTCTCATTGATGCATTTTCTAGATATATTTTTGTGTACAATCTCAAGCAGAAATCGGAGGCTTTTCCTAGGTTCAAGGAATTCTGTGCTTGGTTGGAAAATGTGCATGGTAAGAAGATAAAGACTCTTTTCAGTGATCGCGGGGAATTCACTTCTCAGCAGTTTGAAGCTTTTCTGACTGAGAAAGGAATTCAACACGATTTGTCTAGTCCTCGCTCGCCATGGCAGAATGGACTTGCGGAACGGGCAAATCAGACATTGCTTCAAGGTCTAAAAACCTTGCTGCATGATGCCAATCTTCCAGAGAGTTATTGGGCCGAATCTCTCTCGTGTTTTGTTTACAGTTACAATCGCAGATTATCTTCAGCGATTGGTTGTACCCCCTATGAGAAGATGTTTGGCAAGAAGCCATACATCAAACACATGAAGATTTTTGGTTCTGACATGTGGGTTCGCTCACCACAAAACTCCAAGTTAGACAAGCGTGGATTGCATGGTATCTTTCTAGGTTATCAGAAAGGGTCTTACAGAATAATGATGACTGACTCTAAGACAATTAAGCTCACGAGAAGTGTCGAGTACAATGCAAAGTGGGGGAGAATGTGGGAATTTTCCAATGTTATCCTGATGACGGTGATGAGACTGAGGATAGTCAAAAGCAACCACAACAGCCCACACCCACTGATGAAGGTTCTGAGTCTGAATCTGAAACTGAATCGGGTGATTCAGAGGATTTCAAGAGTGCGAAAGCCTCTATGCGACCCTCTGAAAGCTCTGATCAAGAATTGGAGGAACCATTGTTCACAATAGGTCGTTTTTCTCCTAAGAAGGAAGAGGAGAGTGTTGAAGACTTAAGGCTAATTCGTAGGTCACAGAGAGCCACAAAAGGCAAACCTCCAAAGAGATTTGCTGATGAGTTTGCTAAGATAGCAGTAACAGCTGTTAAAAGCTCCAAGAAGGTATTTGAACCTTCAAGTTTCCAAGAAATCCAGGGTTTGGATTCAAAGGAAGCTGAGCCATGGTTAAATGCCATGAAGGCTGAGCTTGATTCCTTAGAAAGGAACAAAACATGGGAGCTAGTTCCAGTAGTTCCAGGAATGAAACTGCTTGGAAGCAAATGGGTCTTCAAAGCGAAGACAGATCAAAATGGCAAGATAGTCAGACACAAAGCCAGATTGGTAGCCAGAGGTTTTGCACAGGTACCAGGTGAAGACTATCACGAGACCTATTCACCCACAGTGAGATATGAAAGCATTAGGCTTATGCTCAAGCTAGCTGCAGAGGAAAATCTACACATTAGTCACCATGATATTAATACAGCTTTTCTGTACGGATCTCTAGATGAATCACTTTATATGCTTCCACCTGATGGCGTACAGGTTAAACAGGGATTTGTTTGTGCTCTGAAGAAATCCCTTTATGGTCTCAAACAAAGTGCACGGTGTTGGCACACAAAACTCACTGAAGTATTGTTTTCTCTAGGTTTTCAGCAAGGGAAAGCTGATCCATGTGTATTTGTCAAAGAGGAGGGGCAAAAGAAACTGTACTGTTTGTTTTATGTTGATGATTTATTATTCTTTTGGAAAGATGTCGCAATGTACAATAGCGCCCTAGCTCAACTGAAAGAGCACTTTGACATGAAAGATCTTGGTGAGGTAAACAACTACCTATCTCTGGAAATAGAGAGATCAAGATGGTAACATTCTAGTACACCAGTCACGGAAAATTGCTGATGTGTTAAGCAAACTAAATCTGATGGATGCTAACCCTGTAGACACACCGATGACAACAGGTTATCAGGTAGATGACACTGAAGAAGCATTTTCTGACACTACACTGTACAGGAGTGTGCTAGGCAAGCTAAACTTCATTGCCAGATGTTCAAGACCAGACATTGCTATTAGCTGTAATTTGCTAAGCAGACAAATCAACAATCCTAGTGTCAAGGATTGGAAAGCTCTGAAACGCATAGCGCGGTATTTGAAAGGCACTATGCATTACAGACTGAGATTTAACAATCAGAAGTCTGGTGGTCTTGAGATATTTGCAGATGCAAGTTTTGGAAGTGACGCTACAGACAGGAAAAGTACGTCTGGAGTTTGCTATATGTACAATCAGAGTCTGTTTGATTGGTCATGCAAGAAGCAAACAACAGTTAGCTTAAGTACTTGTGAAGCTGAACTGAATGCACTGTCTTATTCACTTAAGGATTGTGAATGGTAAGTACAATTGTGCAAAGATATGAAAATTCCTGTCAAATGTCCAATCCAGGTTTACCAGGACAACAAAGCATGTTTGGCTTTGCTGAAATCTGAAGGTTGTAAGCAAAGCACAAAGCACTTGCAATTAAAGTTGCAGCATGCTAGGGAATGTATTCAGAAGGGACTCGTAACGGTGTCCTATATGCCAGGTAATGAAATTCCTGCTGATGTATTGTCCAAGATTGTATCAAGGGATCAACACTGTACCTATGTGCAGAAGTTGGGTTTGTACTGATATTGTACGAACACGCTGCCCAGTGATGTTCACAGAAAGGGGAGGATGTTGGTTTCTGCTTTCCTTCACTGTGCAGCTCTGCTTGTCATGAGACAGGTGTTTACATTCCACAGTCTGTACTGTTGGAGTTTCTCACGGGAAAGGGAGACTGGATGTGACGTACACTGGTTTCCTGTTTTTTCACTGTGTAATTCTCTCCAAGCTGTTGAGGAGAGAGGATGCATTTTTCTGCTCCGGCAGGGCAAGATGTCTTTCTGTAATATACCAGCTTTGAACTGTAAATAAAGCAATATAGAGTATGTAACACATTTTCCTCATCCTTCCGCTGGGCACGACAGACTCTGCTTAAATCAACATAATCCTGTCCTCTGGGGTGTTAGCCACCCCTCCCAGTTTGGTGTCATCTGCAAATTTGATCAGGATGCCCTTGAGTCCATCATCCAAGTCGTTGATACCATAGGTAGAAGAAGTCTCTGATGGCAAGTCAACTCACCCCTTATGCAAGTCAGACTGCTTGCCTTGTAGCTTTATAAATCTATGCACATGCTACCTTTTCTATCATGGCATTCCAGGAGGCGGAGCTGGGATGTGGTGGGAGTTGGTAACTGTCCCAAAATCACCCAGTGAGCTTCCATCTCACCTGCCAGTATCTGGCCCAGGGCCTCTGACACTGTTGGAAACTCAGATTTATAAGCCAGGCTCCAAATGGCTCCTTAAACCAAGGTTGCAGTCACCAAAACAGAATGCCTAGTTGCCATTTTGGGGCAAAGTCTTGTTTTTCAAATGACTGTGATTGATTCTGGGTTAAACATCTAGCTAGATCAGATGACAACCTTGATATATACAGTGGTACCTCGGGTTACATATGCTTCAGGTTACAGACACTTCAGGTTACAGACTCCGCTAACCCAGAAATAGTACCTCGGGTTAAGAACTTTGCTTTAGGATGAGAACAGAAATCGTGCAGCGGCGGCAGCGGGAGGCCCCATTAGCTAAAGTGGTCTTCAGGTTAAGAACAGTTTCAGGTTAAGAACGGACACACACAGAGAGAGAGAGAGAGAGAGAGCCATACTTCTTGTTGCTTTCGCTTAATGTTGCAGATTTTCGGGTTGTGAATGTGGCAAACCTGGAAGTGTATACTTTCGGGTTTCGCGCCATGCACATGCGCAGAAGCATTCTGTATGCTTCGTGCCTGCACAGAAGTGCTCTATCGCGCTCCATGCTTGCGCAGAAGCACTGCTCTAGTTGCAGACTTTTCGGGGTGCGAACGGCACTCCGGAATGGATCATGTCCTCAACTAGAGGTACCACTGTGTGTGTGTTTGGGGGGGGTGTATCTTTTTTCTTAATGGTGACTGCTGCTGCTCAAAAACAGCATTTTGGTTTCTGAAATTCATTCCGACGGTGCAGATAAAATAGAACTGACAGAATTCTACATGTTGTGGAATTAATTACCGTATTTTTCGCTCTATAAGATGCACCAGACCACAAGACGCACCAAGTATTTGGAGGAGGAAAACAATAAAAAAAATATTCTGAATCTCAGAAGCCAGAACAGCAAGAGGGATCGCTGCACAGTGAAAGCAGCAATCCCTCTTGCTGTTCTGGCTTCTGGGATAGCTGTGCAGCCTGCATTCGCTCCATAAGACACACACACATTTCCCCTTACTTTTTAGGAGGGGAAAAGTGAGTCTTATAGAGCAAAAAATACGGTAAGTGAGTGAAAACAGCCCATATCCAAGGCTCTCCAGGCATGCATCTTCCAGATGGTGGAGGAGTCAAACGCCATCCTGGAGTCCAGACATCCTCACTTGGTCACAGGTGGCTGATAGCCTGGCTAATTTCAAACACGGCCTCTGCCAACTGCACCAGCTCAAACTCAGCTTTTGTCAGAACACTGGGGACAAGGCGCTGCTGTCCCTATCGGGCCAGAGCAGGTTGAACATCCTTGATGTACGCTACTTCAATGCCACCAATGAGGGGATTGGGTACCTTCTGCATTGCAGACCAGATCCTCAGCCCCAGAACTATGGTCCTTCTCAAGCTGCTGCAAAGCAGTCTGGGGATGGGGGTGGGTCAGAGAATATGCTGATCTGTCCAGCCTGAAACCCACTGAGGGGGTGGAACATACAGAGGGGCCTTCATCATAGAGAGCACTTCATATATAAGTGGTTCATAAGGTAAAGGGACCCCTGACCATTAGGTCCAGTCGTGGCCAACTCTGGGGTTGCGGCGCTCATCTCGCTTTATTGGCTGAGGGAGCTGGCATACAGCTTCTGGGTCATGTGGCCAGCATGACTAAGCCGCTTCTGGCGAACCAGAGCAGCACATGGAAACGCCGTTTACCTTCCCGCCAGAGCGGTACCTATTTATCTACTTGCACTTTGACGTGCTTTCGAACTGCTAGGTTGGCAGGAGCAAGGACTGAGCAAGGGGAGCTCACCCCGTCACGGGGATTCAAACCGCCGACCTTCTGATCACCAAGTCCTAGGCTCTGTGGTTTAACGCGCCACCCGCGTCCCATAAGTGGTTCATAGCAGGCATTTTTTTAAAAAAAACAACAACAAGAAAAAGAAGCAATGCTTGGCCCAAGTGAGACCTTTGGCTCAAAAAGTACAAGATAATGATAGCAACTGCTCGGACAAGGCATTGCGTCTCACTTTCAAGCGCCTTGTTATTTTGCAATTCAGCTCCTCGGCTTTGCTTTCACGGGACTGAGGTCAACAGACTGGAGTCATCCTGCTGCTCAGCCCAGTCTGGCAGCATTCCCACAGTCAAGAGGATGACGGAGAAGTCCTGTGCAAAGCTAGAGGCATGCATCTTCAAAATAATATGTATATTATCTTTATTTTACACGTACATGTGTGTGCGCGCGCACAGCTGCATTCAACTAAGGTGTATTCTGAGAGCAGAGCCACTAAAATCAACTGACCTGAATTAATCACATCCATTATTTTCAATAGGTCAACTCTGAGTAAGATTAAAAACACCCCCCAAAACGCTTGGAGTTGTTGTTGCTGTTGTTTTTCTTGACAATCAAGCAGTGCATGAATTTTATGAAATCAGTACTGTTTTGTGGTTTCGAAAACCTATTTATAAAATTAATTAATTAATAATAATAATAATAATAATATATTTATACCCCGCCCATCTGGCTGGGTTTCCCCAGCCACTCTGGGCTGCTTCCAACAAATTACTAAAATACAACAGTGTGTCAAACATTAAAAGCTTCCCTAAACAGGAACGTTATGCATCCAGCAACCGTGTGAAAAGAGTTTTTTGGAGTGGGGCTCTCCATCCCACACTGTTAACAGGCCAAGCGCACTTGTGTGACATTAGGCAACCGAGCACGAACACTCTTTATTAAACCATGCGCCCGCCCCCCAAAAACACAACATTTAAACCAATGCTTCGACCGTGGGGCAGAAAAATCTCCAAGAGCCAAGGGACAGGCAGATGGGGGAGTGTAAAAATCCCACCTTTTCCAAAGCCACTTTAATCCCAATTACGTTAATATTGGGAACAGTGGCATTCCAATTTATAGCTGGCGCTAGTGGAGATGACTAGATGTCAGGTTGGTGATTGACATCTCCGCACCTGGCTGGCCCCTCCAGCTTTCTTAAGCAGTTAAGCATAAGAGCTCATCTACTGCATTACTACTATTGCTACTACAGGGACGCAGGTGGCGCTGTGAGTTAGACCACAGAGCCTAGGACTTGCCAATCAGAAGGTCAGCGGTTCGAATCCCCGCAACGGGGTGAGCTCCCGTTGCTCGGTCCCTGCTCCTGCCAACCTAGCAGTTCAAAAGCACGTCAAAGTGCAAGTAGATAAATAGGTACCTCTCTGGCGGGAAGGTAAACAGCGTTTCTGTGCGCTGCTCTGGTTCTCCAGAAGCGGCTTAGTCATGCTGGCCACATGACCTGGAAGCTGTACGCCAGCTCCCTCGGCCAATAAACCTAGGACTAAGACGCCATTTGGCAATTCGCTTATATATCTGAGTTTCTAAAACTGTTAAGTCGGTCCTTAGCTAAACCTCCTGTCAGAGGCACCCACCCCCATCGCTTCTGGGTCTTTGGGAACTGAGGTTCGATAAGGTTGCACAGAAATCTCTGGAGGAGATCTGCTCCACCACCTTCCAGTCACTGAATAGAAGCAATTAAAAACCAGTTTAAAATTCATAGTGTGGATGCAGAGACTTAAGTGACCATCGGGTGAGGCTTCGATAGCTGAATTCTTGATTTTTATGATGAGGAATTAGCATGACAAATGCAAGAGTCCCCTGTCCCAAGCGGAACAAATTGTGTGGAACAAAATGCATTCTTAATCACCATTTGTTGAGATGATCAATCAATCCATCTCCTTTATTGGCATGAAATGATTGAGATGATATAGGAAGTGGTGGAGATGACTCAGGGAGCGGCCTGGGCTGAGTCAGTGAAAAGAGTTGCTCACCAGCTGGGATAAGGCTCTGTGTTGCTTTTTCTAACAGCTGGCAAGGGTGCCCTGCAACCCAGAGACTGGGCAGCTGCAAAATTACATTGTGAGCGCACACAAGTCAACATTCCAGCCCATTTCCATTCTGCACAAACCACACGCGACCCTAAATGCCATTTACAGTCACTGAGCAGAAAGCAAGAGAGCGCCTTCTGCTCAAAAAGGACAAAACCACAATTCTGCCTTCCAAAAAAAGAAAAGGAAATACCAGGTCCTCTTTAGCACTGTTGATTTCCAAAAACCCTCATTGTTTCAGAGAGGGTTTGTGAAAATGCTTCAGATTCCTTAATTGTTAGAAAGCAGCATAAGGATAAAGGATTGCTAATGGGGATTTTTTACTATTATTTCCAAGAGAAAGTTCTCCAAGGCTTTCAACATAGAAACCGCTTGGTTAAAATAATCAGCTTCCTGCAGTTAATGCAGAATTTTGTAGCTCGCAGCAGACTCCACCCCAGAACCAGAGAATTGTAGAGTTTGAAGGGACCTCAAGGGTCATCTAGCCCAACCCGCTGCGATGCAGGAATAAAGGCGAGCTTTTCCCCACCAAAGAAGTTCAGCGCAAATCCTGGACAGACCGAAGGAGAACAAGGGCCAGTCGAGGAAGCCAACACAGCACTGCCCTGTACTGATCAAGGGGCAGCACTAAGCCACACAGATGCACTTGCCTTTAAGGTTCAACTCAACCTCTAGACCAGGGGTGGCCAACTCCCAAGAGACTGCAATCTACTCACTGAGTTAAAGACTGGAAGTGATCTACTCCCTTTTTTTGGGTTCAGGTCAAAGTTGTTGAGCTTCTTTTAGGGAGGAGGGAAGGCCCGTTTTTGGGGGGTGAAGGGCCAAAATATTGAGCTTTTTTTAGGGGAGCCAAAGTTGTTCAGTTTCTCGGGGGGGGGGGAGCCACTGATCTAATAGTGATCTACCACACACGTCCAGTGATCTACCGGTAGATCACAATCTACCTGTTGGACGTGCCTGCTCCAGATGAAGGAAGCAAGATCCATGTGCAGCGCTAAAGCACGGTGCAAGCCTGGATAGCTCAGCTGGCTGGAGCGTGGGGCTGATAATGCCAAGGTTGCAGGTTCGATTCCCGTATGGGACAGCTGCATATTCCTGCCTTGGACTAGATGGTTCTCAGGGTCCTTTCCAACTCTGTGTTGGGGTGTGTGTGTGTGTGTGTGTGTGTGTGTGTGAGAGAGAGAGAGAGAGAGAGAGAATCTGAATCTGAATATGGAGCTCTGGCATGCACAACTTCCATGCACCCCAGGTGAGCATTTAAGGGTCTAATTGCAAAGCTGAAAGGGAGGAAGCCATTAATGTTGCAAATCATGCAACCCAGGAATCTCAAGGGGGTGTATGCTGATATGTGGAAGTCCCTGGATCACAATGGGGGGGGGGGTAGAATTTGCATAGGTAAAGGTAAAGGACCCCTGGACGATTAAGTCCAGTCAAAGGCGACTGTGGGGTTGCAGCGCTCATCTTGCTTTCAGGTCAAGGAAGCCGGCGTTTGTCCACAGACAGCTTTCTGGGTCATGTGGCCAGCAGGACTAAACTGCTTCTGGCACAACAGAACACCATGACGAAAACCAGAGCGCACAGAAATGCCGTTTACCTTCCCACCGGAGCGGTACCTATTTATCTACTTGAACTGGTGTGCTTTCGAACTGCTAGGTTAGCAGGAGCTGGGACAGAGCAATGGGACCTCACCCTGTCGCGGGGATTCGAATTGCCGACCTTCCGACTGGCAAGCCCAAGAGGCTCAGTGGTTTAGACCACAGCGCCACCCGCATCCCTTGAATTTGCATAATTGTACCCAGAAGTCATATTTAACACCAGTCCTCCTTCCATTAGCAAAAATGCTCTGTGGTCTTCAGCTACAGGGCAACGAGGAGGAGAAGATAAAACTCTGCAAATCTCCAATCAGAAACATTTTTTTGCAGAGGCAAGCATGCAAGGAATTCTGAACTACGTAATTTTTATTTCCCTCCCACCTTCTCTCTCTCCCCAGCTCTTAACACCTGGGTTTTTTACGCAAGCAAACAAGTCTCGCATTCTTTAGCGCATGTAAATGCGGGGAAACAGGAGGCGAGATGGTCAGAATGACCTTTTCTAAAATTGCAAGCTCTCAGCAAAGCCTTAAAAAAAAAATTACAATCAATCCTTTCATAGCTAGAATATTTGACAAGGCGAGTGGTGAGTGTCACGACCTTCAGGGGAAACTGCAAAGAGCCTGGGGGTTCAAGGAAGAACTTATTTACCATCATTGCACAACACGTCAGATTATCAAAGTTCCTGGTGATAAAAATGCCATTAGGACTCTGAAGACGAGAATTCTAACCCAGGGAACCAGGCAATTGTGCTGGACCGGGAGATATTATCTAAAACGGCAAAAACCTTTTCTTCTTCTTCTTTCTCTTAAAATGGAAGAGAGAAAGGGAAAAGGTTGCATTTCTAGCTTTTATTGCAGGTGTGGGGTAGGGTTCAAAAAACAACTCCTGAAGCAGGAATGGGAAAACCAGTGGTTCTCCAGATATTTGTCGGACTACAACTCCTGCCAGCCTCTGCTAGGCATGTCCAATGAGTGTCTGACTAGACCACAGGTTCCCCAGCCCTGGCACAAGAACAAGGTCCCATTCAATTCAATGGAGCTTGCATGGGGAAAACGTCTCCAAAATGAAGAGTGAGTCCCCTTCTTTGCTGCTGCCAGAGAGTATTTCAAGCAGTGGCTCGTCTTATTCTCAATTTTCATCCTACTCTTTTGATTTTCTTTTCTTTTCCATATATAATTTTTATCAGATTTTCCGTTTCACAATTTAAAGCACTCATTGTTACATCCTTAAGATATTAATGACTTCCTTTCTTCTCTTTCCATAGTTCATTTTACATACCACAAATCCCTGCATATTTTACAAAAACTATACCATTCAGTATTCCATTATTCCATCCATCAAAACTTGTTTACACTGTTGAATTTATCTTAATGCTGCCAGCGTTTTCAGCTGTACAATTATTTCCCATATATTCAATAAACGTTTTCCAATCTTCTCTAAACGTATGTTCTTCTTGTTCTCTTATTCTATATGTGAAGTCTGCAAGTTGTGCATATTCTGTCAACTTAAGTTGCCATTCTTCTTTGGTTGGGACCTCGCTCGTTTTCCATTTGGGGGCTAAGAAAACACAGCAGTAGTAGCATACATAAATAACCTTTTTTGACACCTGGGAATTTCAGTCTGAATTATCCCTAACAGGAAGGACTCGGGGGGGTTGGGGGGGGGAGTACTTTTAAACAATTTTTTCAATTCATTACAGATCATTTCCCGTTTTTTTCTTTTTGGACTGTTGCACTTATCCCTTGAGGTGAAGGCTGCTATGATTGGTTATATTTGCATAGCTCAGTTGGTAGCGCATGAGATTCTTAATCTCAGGGTTGTGGGTTCAAGTCCCACTTGGGCAAAATATTCCTGCATTGCAGGGGGTGGGACTAGATGTGGTCCCTTGCAACAATTCTATTCAATCTTCTCAGCCAGAAGCTCAGAGGCATACTGTAGACTCACAATAACCCTACGAGGTAGGGAAAGGTCTCAGTCTCAGACACAAATGAGCAGAGATTTGAATCCCGTTGATCCTGAAACAATAGCCAACATTTGGCCAATGAGTCACACAGTGACTTCTGGTTAACACAGAGCACCTAAACAAATGTCACTAAGATTCCCAGATCAAGACTTATCACTAGTGTTGCCTTATCTGAGTAAGCACTGGGTATAAAACTACTGCTCTGCTCTTCAAGCAAGACTGAAACTGGGACATCACTTACTAATGGCCTGTGAGCTGGGCCAATTCAATTACCGTATTTTTCGCACCATAGGACGCACCGGACAATAGGACGCACTTTGTTTTAGAGGGGGGAGAACAAGAAAAAAAAATTCTCCCCCTCTCTGCCCAGCGCCCCTTCAGCGAAGTGGCAGGAGGCGCTGTGCAGAGAGGGGGAGAACTTTCCCCCTCTTGTTTTCCCGCTCTAAAACAAGGTGCCATTTAAGGTGCGTTCAGGCGGCTACCTTGTAAGCCTCGAGAGCGAGCGGGGTCGGTGTGCACTGACCCCTCTCGCTCTCCAGGCTTCAGGTTCCTTCAACCTGCTCTTTGGGGCTGGCGGGGAAGCCCACCACCAGCCCCAAAGAGCAGTTCAGGGAGCAGCAGAAAGGCGCAGCGGAGAGGCTCCTGCCATAGCCGTGCGACACCTCTCCAGCCAGGAGAGGGTCGCAGGGCTATGGCTCTTAGCCCGCGCACGCTCTCCCGGCTGGAGAGGTGACGCACGGCTATAGCAGGAGCCTCAATAGCCGCGCGTCACCTCTCCAGCCGGGAGAGGGTCGCAGGGGGGCTGTTTAGCCCCGTGCGTGCTCTCCCGGCTGGAGAGGTGACGCGGGGCTGTAGAGGCTCCTGCCATAGCCGCGCGTCACCTCTCCAGCCGGGAGAGGGTCGCGGGGCTATGGCGTCTTCGCTCCATAGGACGCACACACATTTTCCCTTCATTTTTGAAGGGAAAAAAGTGCATCCTATAGAGCGAAAAATACGGTAGCTTTGATTATCTGGCAAAAATATTGCCTCATATTATTGACAACAAAGAATTCTATACAACCCATCAACGTGATTTATAAAACTGCTGTTGTCAATTTATGTTCATCATCTCTAAAGTCCCTTCTCAAATCTGAGTTTCCCAGAAAATTCTGAGTTGATTGCTTTTTTCCTGGAAAACAAAAATCAGTTTGTAGCATAGCGATCCAACTAAGCATGTTCATTTTATCTGTGCTTCATAAGCAAGCGAAGAGCTTCGAAACATCAAGAACCATATGCCAGGATTTGTTGTTGTTTAGTCATTTAGTCATGTCCGACACTTCGTGACCCCATGGACCAGAGCACACCAGGCACTCCTGTCTTCCACTGCCTCCCGCAGTTTGGTCAAACTCATGCTGGTAGCTTCGAGAAGACTGTCCAACCATGATACCACCCGAAATTTCATCACATGAAATTACAACTTAAAACTCCCTACAATTTCCCAAGTAATGATTTAAGGAAAGCATTTAAGCAATTTAAGGAATGCATCAACAAGCTGGAACGTGCAAAGAGGAGGGCGACCAAGGTAACCAAGGGTCTGGAAACCAAGCCTAATGAGGAATGGTTGAAGGAGCTGGGTATGTTTAGCCTGGAAAAGAGAAGACCAAGGGGAGACATGATTTGTTTGTTGTTGTTTAGCCATTTAGTCGTGTCCGACTATTCGTGACCCCATGGACCAGAGCACGCCAGGCTCTCCTGTCTTCCACTGCCTCCCGCAGTTTGGTCAAACTCATGCTGGTAGCTTCGAGAACACTGTCCAACCATCTCATCCTCTGTCATCACCTTCTCCTTGTGCCCTCCATCTTTCCCAGCATCAGGGTCTTTTCCAGGGAGTCTTCTCTTCTCATGTGGTGGCCAAAGTATTGGAGCCTCAGCTTCAGGATCTGTCCTTCCAGTGAGCACTCAGGGCTGATTTCCTTCAGAATGGATAGGTTTGATCATCTTGCAGTCCATGGGACTCTCAAGAGTCTCCTCCAGCTCCATAATTCAAAAGCATCAATTCTTCGGCAATCAGCCTTCTTTATGGTCCAGGTCTCACTTCCATACATCACTACTGGGAAAACCATGGCTTTAAGGGAGACATGATAGCCATCTTCAAATATCTCAAGGGCCATCCCATGGAAGAGGGAACAAGCTCATTTTCTCCTGCTCTTGAAGGTAGGACTTGAACCAAGGACTTGAAGTTACAAGAAAGGAGATTCCAACTAAACACCAGGAAGAACTTTCTGACAGTAAGTGCTGTTCGACAGTGGAACGGACTCTCTCAGAAGATGGTGGACTCTCCTTCCTTGGTGGATTTTAAGCAGAGGTTGGATGGCCATCTGTCATAGATGCTTTAGCTGAGATTCCTGCATTACAGGGGGCTGGACTAGATTCTATGATTCTAAGCACTAATCTTCCACAAGGTTTCCAGAAGTGGCTCTTACACCATGTGAAAGATCACAAAAAACCCAGAAATCATCCAGCAAGGAAACGTCAATGAAACAGAGTAAGTCCCAAACCTGTCACAGCTAGCCTGCGATTCCGAGCCAAGCCAGAAAGCTAGCCTGCGATTCCGAGCCAAGCCAGAAGACAAACCAATCAGTCGTGAAATTTCACTTTGCTTCTTAAAACAGTGGGTACCAAACATTTACAGGAGGGTGGCTCTGCGTGTTTAATTTCCTCTATGTTAGCCTGCAAAGCTCAACAGGGAAGAGTCGTGAAATGACAAGCGATTATGACACTCAGCAGGTGAGACACGGGAGATGACAGGCCCCTGCAGTTGCCAAAATTCTTCCAGCCGGGTCACTCCTTCTTCAACTTACATTGTGTTCCTTCTCCGTGATGCTTTCCTGCTAGGCAAATCTATTTGCAGATGTTTCGTCTTGTGTTTCCCCAAGTATAGCTGGGGCAGAGGCTCTCCTCACTGCCCTTCCCACTTTTGTGAAAAGCTACGACGAGCTGGGAACACTTTTTCAACCCAAGGGACACGGAGCCCAGTGTTAGAAACTCAAGATATAGAAGCTAGGCACCAAAGGGTTGCAATCACCAAAACGTAATGTTTAGGGAAGCTTTTAATGTTTAATAGGTTATTGTATTTTAATATTCTGTTGGAAGCTGCCCAGAGTGGCTGAAGAAACCCAGCCAGATGGGTTGGGTATAAATAAATTATTATTATTATTATTATTATTATTATTATTATTATTATTTCTAGTTGCTATTTTGGGGCACAAGACAGGTCTCTTATTTTTCAAGTGATGCACTGACTGTGATTGATTGGCAGTTACACATCTGGCTAGTCCCTGGGGAGAGCACCCTACAGAGGTCACAGACCACAGAGTTGTAAGGGTCCTCGAGGGTCATCTAGTCCAGCCCCCTGCAATGCAGGCTTCTCAACTAAAGCATCCATGACAGATGGCCATCCAATCTCTGCTTAAAAAACCTCCAAGGAAGTCCGCCACCTCTCATGTGAGTCTGTTCCACTGCCGAACAGCTCTTACTGTCAGAAAGTCCCTCCTGACATTTTAGTTAATCTCCTTTCTTGTTATTTAAAGCCACTGGTTTGAATCCTACCCTCCAGAGCAGGAGAAAACAAGCTTTTCCCCTCTTCCATGTGACAGCTCTTGAGATATTTGAAGATGGCTATCATATCTCCGCTCGGTCTCCTCTTTTCCAGGCTAAACATACCCAGCTCCTTCAACTGTTCTTCATCAGGCTTGGTTTCCACATGAGAGCCAGTGTGGTGCAGTGCTCAAGAGCGGTAGTCTCGTAATCTGGGGAACCGGCTTCGCTTCCCCGCTCCTCCACATGCAGCTGCTGGGTGACCTTGGGCTAGTCACACTTCTCTGAAGTCTCTCAGCCCCACTCACCTTACAGAGTGTTTTTTGTGGGGGAGGAAGGGAAAGGAGATGGTTGGCTGTTTTGAGACTCCTTAGGGTAGTGATAAAGCGGGATATCAAATCCAAACTACTACTACTACTACTACTACTACTACTCTTCTTCTTCTTCCACTCCTCTGATCATTGTGATTGCCCTCCTCTGCACACAGTCCGGCTTGGAATTGGACATTCCCAGAATTGGACACAGTATTCCAAGTGTGGTCTGACTTAAGGCTGAATAGAGTGGTACTATTACTTTCCTTGATCTGCACACTATACTTCTGTTGATGCAACCTAGAATAGCAGTAGCTTTTTTTGCTGCCGCATCACGCTGTTGATTCATGTTCAGCTTGTGGTCCACCAAGAACCCTAGATCCTTTTCACGAGCACTGCTAGTAAGCCAAGTGACCCCCATCCTATATTTGTGCATCTGGTTCTTCCTGCCTACGTGCAGAACCTGACATTTGTCCCTATTGAAATTAATTCTGTTAGCTGGGGCTCAGTTCTCCAATTTACGTGGGGCTACCTTTGAAGGTGACCCAGAAACTACAACTAATTCAGAATGCGGCAGCTAGACTGGTGACTGGGAGCGGCCGCCGAGACCACATAACACCGGTCTTGAAAGACCTACATTGGCTCCCGGTACATTTCCGAGCACAATTCAATGTGTTAGTTCTGACCTTTAAAGCCCTAAACAGCCTCGGCCCAGTATATCTGAAGGAGCGTCTCCACCCCCATCGTTCTGCCCGGATGCTGAGGTCCATTGCCAAGGGCCTTCTGGCGGTTCCCTCACTGCAAGAAGCCAAGTTACAGGGAACCAGGCAGAGGGCCTTCTCGGTAGTGGCACCTGCCCTGTGGAACGCCCTCCCACCAGATGTCAAAGAGAGCAACAACTACCAGACTTTTAGAAGACATCTGAAGGCAGCTCTGTTTAGGGAAGCTTTTAATGTTTGATGTATTACAGTATTTTAATATTTTGTTGGAAGCTGCCCAGAGTGGCTGGGGAAGCCCAGCAAGATGGGAGGGGTATAAATAAATAAATAATTATAATTATACAACGTCATTTTGAATTCTGATTCTGTCTTCTGCAGCGTAAGCTACCCCTCCCATCTGCAAATTTGATGAGTATTTGAAAAGTCGTTTGTAAAGACATTGAAAAACAGAACCTGGTAGCTTCACTAGGGCAGAAGAACCACAGTGGATGTCCAGACAGAGTCTGGAGGTCAATTGAGCGTGAGATTGCCAGGTTTCCTGAGCACAGGTGTGAGCCCATTACCTTGACGGTGCTATGGGAGCCACATTCGTTCCGAGATGACTTGTGTTCCCAGCACAGCTGATCCGGGATCTGCCATGGAAGCAGCGGGATGAGTGGCAGGGATGGTTTCTAGCCAAGAAATCTCTCTGTTCAAGCAACTGTGCGAACGTGGATTCCGTACATCGACAGGAATGCTGACTGGGACAGAGTTAATACTGTACTGGTGGGTTAAGTGTTGGGAAGAGGTCAGCAGCGATTTCCTGGAGTTTAATTGGTCACCGGGCCGCAGCGCAGTCACACACTTCTGGTTAAGGATGTGCTTTGGCAGCCCTCCGTTCCAGATGGTGGCTGGTTTTCAAAGCCTAGCTGTCTGCTCCTGGGGCTCCGGCCAGGGCAGCTTTCATCCTGCTGCATTCTATTACTCAGCAGACTTTGGGCAGAGCATCACTGTGCTCAATTATGTGTATACAGGCCAAAGATACTCTTGTTTCCCAAAAAGAGTTCTTTTCCCCCCCACCTTGCTTTTTAAAAATCCACCCACTTATCCCTAGAGAGCCGGAGAGATCAAGCGTTTTGAAAGAGCTGACTTCTACTATGTCTGTGCAAGTCAGATTATGGTGTGTGTGTTTTGTGGGATTGGGGAGGAACAGAAAGAGCATTCCTGCAATAAGTGGCTTTTGCTCTGCTGCAGATCAGAGGCTCTGTGTGTCGTGGGCAATCATGGTTTCACTGATGAAAGCGGCTGTCATTATTGCCAGCATCCGATGTGGTTTAGCATTCTCTTTAATCTCTTCCTAGCAGTACTGTTCGGTTGTGTGTGTGTGTGTGTGTGTGTGTGTTTGGGTGAAATTTGCATGCTAGCGTGGGTATGTCTGTGCCAGATTTATGTATTAGCGAAGCAAGCTATAGCTTAGGGCCCCACTCTCTTGGGGGCTCCAAAAAAATTAAAAGGGAAAAACAACAACTGGATGTACATTTCCAAAATATAAGATAAAAAAATAAAATAAAACCTACATACAGATACAGTGTTGTGTAGGCTCCTATGATGTAAGTAACAGGCCCCGCCTGCCTGCCTGCTCCCTAAAATATCACTGGTTTGCTCATTTCTATATTTAGGGTGCCTACATTCTGCAGGGACTGGTTACATGGCAACATGGGCAAATAGCTTTAGATACCTATTAGGGCCACAAATTACCATATAGCATATATTCAACACAAAAAAGCGATAATTTGTTGTTGACAAAGGACAGCTGGAGATATAAAAGACCCCATTACAGTGGTACCTCAGGTTACATACGCTTCAGGTTACAGACTCCGCTAACCCAGAAATAGTGCTTCAAGTTAAGAACTTTGCTTCAGGATGAGAACAGAAATCGTGCTCCGGTGGCGCAGCAGATGCAGGAGGCCCCATTAACTAAAGTGGTGCTTGAGGTTAAGAACAGTTTCAGGTTAAGAATGGACCTCTGGAACGAATTAAGTACTTAACCCGAGGTACCACTGTACGTTCATCAAACCTAAATCCGGCCCTGGTCTGTGCATAGAATTATAGTTGAAAGGGACATCTAGTCTAACCTTCTGCAGTGCAGGAATCTTTTGGCCAACGTGGGGCTCGAACCCTCGACCCTGAGATTAAGAGTCTCACATTCTACCAACTGAGCTAAGTGAGAAGCACTTCTACATAGTTCTTGAATAGCTCTTCTACAATTGCACCCAGAAATCCTGCTTATGTGTGTCTCTTTCCCTCCCCCCTCTCCACAGTTAGCCAAAAGTAGTTGGAAGTGAAGAGACGCGGGTGGCGCTGTGGGTTAAACCACAGAGCCTAGGACTTGCTGATCAGAAGGTCAGCGGTTCGAATCCCCGCAACAGGGTGAGCTCCTGCTGCTTATTCCCTGCTCCTGCCAACCTAGCAGTTCGAAAGCACCCCAGTGCAAGTAGATAAATAGGTACCACTCCAGCGGGAAGGTAAACGGCATTTCCGTGCACTGCTCTGCTTCGCCAGAAGCGGCTTAGTCATGCTGGCCACATGACCCGGAAGCTGTACGCCGGCTCCCTCGGATAATAAAGCGAGATGAGCGCCGCAACCCCAGAGTCGGCCGCGACTGGACCTAATGGTCAGGGGTCCCTTTACCTTTACCTAGTTGGAAGTGATGCCCAGGGTCAGGCAGGAGATCAATAAAGCACACTAACAGAATGATCACCCCTGTGCATATTTACTCAGAAACATTTCTCCCACTGAATTCCACAGAGATTACTCTCAGGTAGTCGTACACAGGGCTGCAGCCATAAAATCACAGAGAATCTACTTTGAGAGTTCAATTCCCGGCTTCTCCAGCTAGGGCTGCCCCCTTGCCCAAAACGGAGGAGAGCTGCTGCCAGTCCGTGTAAGCAATGTTGGGTTAGACAGGCCACCACTCTGACTCAGCGCAAAGCAGTTCCCGATTATTCCTGGTGCCCTTTAAAAACAGCTGCAAACAGCTCACCATGAGTTGGCAAAGGCAGAGCTACATCAACAGTGAAAAATCTGAGGGCTTCCTCACCCAGAGAGCAAATTCCACAGGCTGCGGTCCCAGGGCTGAACAACGAGAGCTAAAATTCCAAAACAGAGGAAGTGATAAAATTACAGCGATAAAAAAAAAGAAATTCCAGCGGATGTACAGTAGCATCCTAAGCAAAATGGAATTTCCTTGCCAGCCGTGTAATAACAGAGTCAGTCCGCTGACAGAGATTGCTCCAAATGACCGGTGGAGGGGGGAGGTGGATGCCTCTCCCAAAGCTTTTAAACCAACATTTTCCTGATTTTTCGGTGGGGAAAGAAAGCACAAATAAACAAACAAAAACCCAACGTTTCGTCCTGAGCACATTATCCACATCTCCCTACAGCACAGAAAAAGAACCTCACAAGGAAGGAATGGCTGGATTAGCCCACAGAAAGATGTAGATACAAAAGAGAAGAATCAAATGCTACCCTTAAGCTTTCAGACAGCAAATCACAGCGTCGTTTTTTATTTTAAATGCTTCTATTGCTAACGCTTCTCTCCTTTTGCCTTCTTTATTGCTCTCTCTTCCCTCTCTTCATCTCTATTTTGCCTTTCTTTTCTTTTTCTTTGTTTTGCAACTTTGGCAGCTGCGATTTTTTACGAAGGAGGTGACCGCGGGCATCCTCACGAAGCCCCTACCCAAAGAAGCGTTTCCAGAACCTTTGTGTCAAGCTGTGACGCTGTGTGGTTGAATAAAATCTATGCATATAAATGTTATGTTGTATTGCCTGAGAAGGGCTATGTGGGATGTGTTGTCACTAGAGCAATCAAGTACAACATCTTCCTGTTTCCTAGAATGGACACACAGAGGGACGTGGCTCCAGACAGGGACGACTTCCTGCCATACCTGCAATGCAGCTTTCTCCCCCTGTGTGTGGCCACGTAGATGGGCATGACCCTAGCTGACCAGATAAAAGGGCTGGCCATGCAACCATCTCTCTCTTGGTCTCTCACTCTCCTGGCTCTTAGCCAGCGCATGGTTCAACCTTCACAGAGGATGGAGCCCCCAAGCAGAAAGTCTGAGCGACACCTCAGACTTCTTTTCACTGTAACCACAAGAGAAAGCCTGCCTTCAGATTACTGCTGTGAACCGAATATGAGTAAAACTTTATTCTAACTTTCGAAGAAGGCTGTGTTGCGTTGTTGTTGTTATTTTAAGAGGGAAATACAGTTATACCTCCGCGAACGTCTGCCTTGTCTAGCGTCCATTCCGGTGAACGTCCGCGGCAAACCCGGAAGTACCGGAACGGGTTACTTCCAGCACAATCGCGCTTTGTGCATGCGCAGAAGCACAAACCACTCCGCACATGTGAATGCACAGATGTGGGGCTTTGCCCTGTGTCTTTTTCGGGTGGATCCCGGCCACAAAACAAGGTACGACTGTAAAGGGGAAACTTCCCAGGAACAATCCAGACTGGATTGCTTAATTAAAGGATTCTAATGAATCATCGACTTACTTCCAATCAGTTGCAAAGGGAATGCGCTCTGATGTTTACTCACTAGCGTGAGTGGGGGGAAGGTAATGTCAAAACAATATACCCTCTCCTACCTTCCTTAACATTCGCACAGTTCAGGTGGGTGGTGAAAACCTGTCTTCTCGTTTTTCCCCATCCCCCACTCTCACAAAATTAGCTCCAAAATATTAGGGGAGCCTCCAGGAAGATTTTGGGGGAGTTCAGAGGGAGGTGTGGAAATGGAAAAGCTGCTTTGCCTGCAGAACTTTGCCTGTGGAGCACAGGATACAACCCACAGTTTGTTACACCTTACCTCGAGGTATAAGGTATAATACTCGTGGTACCTCGAGTTACAAACACCTTGGGATACAAATGCTTCAGGTTATAAACTCCGCTAACCCGGAAGAGTTACCTTGAGTTGAGAACTTTGCCCCAGGATGAGAATGGAAATCGCATGCGGATTAGCGAAAACACGCCTCTAGTTAAGAACAGTTTCAGGTTAAGAACGGACCTCCGGAATGAATTAAGTTCGTAACTAGAGGTACCACTGTATTAGCACATGCTTTCAAAAGGGCCGATTCCATCCATTTGCTGCTAACCACCACCTACCTAAGCTTGCTTAGTCAGATCTGAGTCTCACAAAGGTCAACGGACTCCCCAGGAAGTCTGCATCAGATTGCAACCCTAAGGAGAATCTGGGAGCTTCCACGAAACTTGCAATTTTCGTGCTTGCCTGTGCTGGGTACTGGCAGAACTCCACCTTCGCTCCAAGCAAGCTATTGCTATTAATCACCACAACATTTCTGTCTCCTGCCAACATTCCCTCCTCCCCGTCCAATGGTGCGATATACTGACCTCAGCATGCAGCAAGCTTCCTACAGCACTCCCGTAATCCTAAAAAAAGGATCAATCATGCATCTTTGAATCCAGCAAATATGAAGCGTGCTCAGAGTGCAATTCAGCCTCTGCCATCCACAGCAAGGTGTCTTCATCACAGAGAACAACGACAAGAAAACCAAAGCTCTGGGATAGAAACTCTCAATCTCCAAGCACACACGAACCAGAAAGCATATGGTCCCAGCAAGTGTGATCACAGTATTGTAGGAGAATATGGCAGCCAGGTATCACAAACAGCATGTTTTGCAATACAGTGGAACCTTGGTTCTCGAACGGCTTAGTTGCCGAACAAATTGGCTCCCGAATGCTGAAAACCTAAGTGTTCCGGTTTTCAAACGTTTTCTGGAAGCCGAACGTCCAACACAGCTCCTGCAGCCAATTGGAAGTCGCGCCTTGGTTTTCGAATGGTTTCAGGAGTTGAACAGACTTCCAGAACGGATTAAGTTCGAGAACCAAGGTTCCACTGTATTAGAAGGAAAATTTCTGCAGGCTGCACATGACAACACATCAGCCTGGTTCACACTTCATTTTAGTTAAATTTAGCTTAAAAGTGAGAGTGCAGGGCTAAAATCTCAGGTGCTTTGCTTCTCCCTCACTCCTGCCACACTGCCAGGAGCTAAACTATGGTTTGCCTTAGCAGCACGCCCAAATCCAGACTCATGGCTTGTTTCTTCCCAAACCACCCACACGCAGCAATCCGAGAACAAACATTTACAAACACTCTTGGTTTGGTTTGGAGAGAAACAGACTGAACCAGGGTCCTGACGCAACGCTAAGGCTAGCCATGGTTTAGCTATGATTAGTGTGGCGGCGCCAGGAGCAAGGGAGAAAGCATGTTTTCTCATGTTCAACTCCTTTCACTGTGCTTAAAAGATCAGTTGTGATATGTCCATGCTGGGGGCATACAGAGAAAGAGAGAGAGAATGAATTCACCGCAAACTTTGATAAACTTAAAACTTATCTGTATATCAGGTAATCACAGACGTACCTGGGTAGCACACTTGTCCCAATGGGAAACAGTAGGGCAGGGAGTCTCATGTTCAGACTACTGGCGGCGCTTTCCCCCCAGCATCCACACACACAAAATTAACCACAAAAAAATGCATATTCCATTGATAGCGGGGGAAATAATCCATCTTCGGCAATGTTATCTTGGTATGAACATCCAGAATGAGGGGAGGGGGAACAGCCAAAATCTTTCGTCCCTCCCCACGCACATATTTCATCCGCAGCTGGCATTCTCCGGAGTCTTTGGGCAGCTCGAGAAAGTCCCACGGCCTTGGGCGTCCTTGAACGAAAGGAACAAGATGTTGGAGGAGCTGCTGTGTCTATTGGATCGCTCCAGAAATCAAGACTGAGACCTTGGGAAGAGGAAACAAAACAAGGAGAAACTGTTACATGGAGCAGACAGGGCATGAGACAGGGAGTTGGGGGTGGGAGAGTAGACTGGAAATTGTTCCACTTGCATGATAAATCTAAACTTTCCCTTTTCCTTGCAAATGGCTGTCAGAAAGGTGTGGGGGAAAGGAAGCCTGATCTCTCAGTAAGCAGTCACCAAGTTTTCAGCATCTTGGTTTGTAGGATGGAGGGCAAGGTCAATTCAAGGACAAAGGGCCTCCCTTGTCTGAGACAGCCATCAAAAATTAGGTGGGGAGAGAGACAAAGAGAGGAAGAAGAATTAAAGGCTGCGAGTGAGAAATTTAGCAAACACTGTTGGCCTTCTTTCATTCGATTCAAAGGAAGCATACAGGTCTCCCCCCCCCCCCCCAATAAACGTGGGTC